CGGGAGCGCCGCCGCACTCCCAAGCGCCGCACTCCACCGAGTGCGCCACCGGGCCGGCCCTAAATGCATATATTTTTTTAAATGTCCTCTTATTTTTGGTGGGGAATGCAAAGTAGAGTTAGGTATTTTGAAGTTAGTTCCTTGCTGAAATATGCACATAAATTAATATTTTGTCCGTGAATGTATTTCCTCTGGCTTTCCATGCTTGGTTTACAGTGTCAATATGAAGATAAAAGATAAACTTCAACTAGAGAGCATAAATGAGGTTTTTCATTGAGATATTTTGGTTTTCAATACATGCTTTTCTTACATTTAAGTCTAATTGCTTTTAAAAGGGAAAATTCAAGTGTTTTCTTAGAATGTGATTAGGAAATCTTTGTTCAACTCATTGTTGATATATCAATTTTAAGAGTATGTCCGAGAATCTTCCACAGAAGTATGTTGGTCATTTATCTGGGGCTGAAGATCAAAGAGGAAAAAATATAGTAAATGGACAAGTAGAAGGTAAGAACTGTATTTCATAAAAAAAGTCATTTGAGGGAATTTTTACTTGAAACATGAACACTGATATATCCTACTAGCCAAAGAAAATCACCTATTAAATGCGTAGTAAGGAAAAAGAGAAATGAAATGGTGATAAGTTGTATATCTTACCAAGTGTCAGCAACGGATTGAATGGAGNGAGAAATGAAATGGTGATAAGTTGTATATCTTACCAAGTGTCAGCAACGGATTGAATGGAGAGTGCCATTAATGGAGCTCAATTATTAGTTTTGTTTGAGATACTCTAAGACCTGAGGAAAGTCAGGAAAAAAGGAAGAGGAATGGAGTAAAGAGGGAGTGAAGAGTGAGAATGGCAGCGAGTCCTGGGGTAACTGTGGAAAAAGAAGCAGGTGTGAATAACGGAGAGTGGTACAATAAAGTGATTCTTCAGCAAAAGGAAGAACAGGTATTAGAAAGGTGGTAAGCATTAAAACAAGCTTCCAGTACCAAAACTTGTCAGAGAGGTCAAGCAAAAACTTCCCACTCTTCCTGTCTTCATCACTGTTGGGAAGGCAATAAGGAATGAGGTGCCTGATCATACAGTGCTACATTTTATCTGCCTTAGATGAATATGAGCATAAATGGTCAGCCATACATGTGCATAATTTAATGTTATGTAAAATATTGCTACTTTACAGGATGGTATCCTTTAGGCCAAAATAAGAGACTTGTAAAGAAGAAGAAAGCAGGACTAATAATGGAGAGGTCAAGGAGGCTATAGCCTGATTAAAAGTCCATTAGGATGTATGACTTCTAATGAAATTGCAGTTTGGGGGATGTGATAGAGAGGAACTAGAGTCTAGATTCCAAAAGGAGAAGCTAGGGTAAAGGAATGTGGAGGCAGAATCAGTATAGACCAGAGCTGCTCAAACTTTAATGAATCACCTGGAGGCCTTGTTAAAAATGTACATTCTAGGGCCGGCCCGGTGGCGCACTGCTACAGTGCGCCGCTTGGGAAGTGCGGCGGCGCT